AGAATGGCCAGGTTGTTACTTATGCTTCTAGACAACTGAAAGTTCATGAAAGGAATTATCCTACGCATGACTTAGAGTTGGTCGTTGTGGTGTTTGTGTTGAAAGTTTGGAGACATTATCTTTTTGGGTCTAGGTTCGAAGTGTTCAGTGATCACAAGAGCCTGAAGTACTTGTTTGATCAGAAAGAGTTGAACATGAGGCAGAGAAGATGGCTTGAACTTCTGAAGGATTATGATTTTGAATTGAGTTACCATCCTGGTAAAGCTAATGTTGTGGTTAATGCGTTAAGTAGGAAGTCCTTACATATGTCGATGCTTATAGTTTGAGAGTTAGGACTGGTTGAGCAATTCAGAGATATGAGTTTGGTTTGTGAAGAGACTCCTAACAGTGTGAAGTTGGGTATGCTGAAGTTGACTAGTGGTATTCTCCAACGAATCAGAGAAGGTCAAAATCTGATTTGAGTTTAGTGGATCGTCTCACATTAATCAACCAAGGTAACAGGGGTCAACCTCTGAAGCAGAAGCTCTTCAATCGAGGCAACTCTGACAGACTCAAAATCTTTTTATCATGTGAAGACTTAAGGAAAAATCTCCTCCTTGGTGTCTGAGCTTCAAAGGATAATTCCTTTTGAAGAAAGGTACCTTGCTAATGTGTCTAATCAAGTAAAAAGCTAACCTAACCTAATTTATGAAAGTCTCGAACATCTCTTTTCTCTCTGCCTATAAAAGGAGTTGCAGACCTGAAGAAAAAGACTACCACAATGCAATACACCACAAGACTCTAAACATTGTTATTCAAAGAGAAGTTACTCTGTGAAATTTATTAGACTTAGAAATTCTTAAAATTGTGAATATTGAAGAAGTTGTTTTTCCAATTTTTATTCTATCTACACCCCTGATTGAATATCAAGTGTAATTGCTACCCAAATATCTTAACAATTAGAAGTATCTTGCTTTAATGCTTGGGCATTTAAAGTATTGAGCTTTTGTGCTCAAGTGAGGAAGTCTCAGACTTGTGTGTTTGAGCAAGGAAGTCTTAATTTGTGTGCTAGAGCAAGGAAGTTTTGAGCTGGTGTGCTTAAGCAGGGAAGTCTCAAACTTGTGTGTTTGAGAAATGAAGTCTTATACTTGTGTGTGTAAGCAAAAAAAGTCTCTTACTTGTTAGCTTGATTATTTGTAATCAGATTTGGTATAGTGGAAATCCCTTTGGAAGTGCAAAGGGATTGGACTACTCTCATGTTGTAAGAGGGACCTTGATAAACTGCATATGTCTTGTGCTTTTACTTTACTTGCTTCTGAACATTATTCCACTGCTATCTCACCTTTAGTTAATGGTGTATAAAAAAACAAGGATAGCTCACTTAATAATCACACATATAATCATCCACAACAATCATCATTCACCAGTGCAATTATGTATGAAATGCAATCAACTTTTCTACTCCAATGCGTGTAGTACTATGTTTTGGATATCAAATTATATTACTGATTTAGCCATTCATCGATGGTTCATCTCTGAACTTGATTCCTCTATGAACCAAAACTTATCCCAGGTTCCCAGTTTAGAACCTGGAACTCTCATTGGACAGTAGTCCGTACACCTATCTCTGACATACATGATGCATGAAATGCAACAAACAATACCAATTCAAAAAACACCATTGGTTCCTCTTTGAACCCACACTATCGCCAATATAAGGCCACTATAGTTCAAAAACTAAACTATCTTGACACACACAACAATTCAAATATATCAACATAACTCAAAAACTTCTCATAACTCTAAACATATCAAGTAACTTAGAACTCAACCATTTTATTTAACTCGAATCTAAAGATATAAAATATCTCAAACTCAACTCTAAGAATGTCAAATACTTCAAACTCAACCCTAAACATTTTAGGCTTAACTCTAAAAATATCAAATATCCCATACTCAACTCTAAGAATGTCAAATACTCCAAATGCAACTCTAAACATTTCAAACTCAACTCTAAAAATATAAAATACTTCAAACTCAACTATAAGAATGTCAATAACTCAAACTCAACTCTAAACATATCAAATTACTCAAACTAAAGTTATTTATAAATGTATTCAATTCCTTAAATTGGTAACGGGTTTCCCAAAACTCTGTACTTAACTCTAAAATTGTTTCACTTCACACTAGCACCAAATATTATAGGCTCGTGATAAAATTATGAAACTCTCCAGTTTAAAATTTTAAACCATTTTTTAAATGCAATTGATTGCATCTCGATTGGAGTTACGAAACTCCAGTTCTATTCGTTCCAGTTCGGCCATATCACAATATTTCCTGCATAAACTCTAAAACACAATGTCTGACTTTAGAATAGAACCAAATATTATAGGCTTATGATAAAATTATAAAACTCTCCAATTTAAAAGATCATGAAACCAACCCTCTTTCTAACGCAACTAACCACACCTCAAATAAACTTACGAAAATCAAGTTACATATGAAACAAGATAACCAATGCAGGCTTGAAATTTGACTACACCTCTGGTATAAACAACAGATAACTCCTACTATTGTATGCTCCTAGACACAATTTCTCCACTTCAAAAGAAAGATTATTGCCTTAGTTTTCTAATACAATTGACGGCACCTCAAATGGACTTGCGAAACTCAAGTTACACATGAAACAAGACAGTCAATCTCTTTCAATGTCTATCTACGATTTTTTTCCTTGCGTTTTTCTCCTATTTCTCCTTTTTGAGTTCTCATCACACAAAAAACATACATATAAACACAACCATTGAAAATTAAACATTTTAACCCTCGCCTTATCATAAGGTAACAACAAAAATCTCAATTCTACCTTCGCCTTATTGCACAACGTCAATAAACACTACTAGAAAATTTGCTTTTAGTGACTGAAAAATTTCGGTCACTCTAGTGACCGAATTGACCACTAAAATTTGAATCTTATTAGTAAAACTTAAAAAGTCACTAAATCGGTCAAAAAATAAAATTAGCCACCGAATTAGCGATTGAGATTTAGTGACCATAATTCTCAGTCTCAAATAATCGTTTTTTATATAAATTAATTCATGAAAAAATTGTGACTGAAACTTCGATCACTAATAATTTTTTGTTTTTTTATTATTAAGTTACTTCTCTCCCAATTTTCTTTTTTTTTAATTTTTAATTTTTAGTCAAAATTTCACAATTATATTATTTTAAGAAATAAAACATATATTTATAGAAATAATTAACTCATTAAAATTATTAATTTAAATAAAATATAATTTTAATGATAATTAGTGTAAATAAATTTTAAATAATATTTAAAATTTCTATTTCATTAATATTATATACATTTTAAATGTAAATTTGATAACTAAAATGAATTGGCCTAGTGGTCATGTCAAATTCTCTTAAAGCAAAGTGCATTGGTTTAATTCTCACTTTCGCTAAATTATAGTGATCAATTTTTAGGTTTTTTCGGTCTCTAATTCGGCGCAAATTTTTTAGTAGTGAAAATATATTCTCAATTCAGTAAACACAAGTAGACATGGCAATATAACCCATACCCGCGAGTACCCGCCCGAACCCGCCCCGAATTTGACGGGGAAATCCGCTTTGACTGAGTTTGGGTTCGGATTTGCGTTTTCTTCGATTTTTAAATATGGGGACGGGGCGGATAATGGGGACTGTAGCACCCACCCCGAACCCGCCCCGTTTATTATTATTATTATTTTAAAAAATCATAATATTTTTTATAAAATCATACATTATATTTTTAACTCTTCCACTTCTTGTTGATTAGTTGTTGATTATCAATTACACATATACAATGGTTAATTTAAAAATTGAAGTTGAACCATTGCAGAACATACATTTACGGTTGGCTATATTAATTAAAATTAATAGACTTTTATTAAAAAAACAAAAAGTTAATAGACTCTTACCATTCCAAAAACAAACTTTAATGGTTCAGTAATGTCTCTTCCAATATTCCAATACTCTCACTATCATTGAACTTTCCTTTTCCTTATCAACATCTTAAAACATTGTTGACATCACCATCTTGGCATCCTCATCAAAATTATTTTTGCTGTAAGTTTTAATCTCTTATTTTTACTTCTAAATCTTAAAACTTTATTGTGTTTGTAGAAGAATGTGATTGTTGTAAGCACTATATTCTCTTAGTTTTTTTATTAGAGTGTTTAAAAGTTTGTTGTAAGTTTTAATCTCTTATTTTTACTTCTAAATCTTAAAACTTTATTGTGTTTGTAGAAGAATATGATTGTTGTAAGCACTATATTCTCTTAGTTTTTTTATTAGAATGTTTAAAAGTTTAAATCTGTATTAGAAATATATGTATTAATTTTCCATACTAACAGCAAAATTATTAATGAAAGGCCATGGGCGTATATACCTATTGAGAGTTGAGATATCATTAATTTATATGTGTGTAACCATTCTATGAGTTAACAAATATTTATATCTATATCACTATTCTTATTCTTATAATTTCAATCTCAACCATTTTGTTTCTTATTTTTTTGAAGAAGAAAAGTTGTTTGTCTTTTTTTAATAAATTAAACTGCTTCATTTAGATTTTAGATAAACATAAGAGGTTCATATAGCCAATTAGTCATAGAGTCATTCTTTTATTTTTGGTGTTGAGCCATAGAGTCAGTCTATGTCTATGGAAAGGGACCTGGTTTGGTTTAAAGACAAATGAATAATAATGACTATGTTGTTGTTCTAATTTTTTTTAAAATTTAATGACTATGATTTTTTTTAAAAAAATATAGTGACTATGCTTTTATGGTTTGGTTTGGTTATTTATCCAAGTATTTACTATTTAGTATATTCAAATTACATTCTCTACTGTAAATTATTTGTTTTATGTAACTAATGGTTTAATTTGTAGTTTAAAATGGTAGATTTTTTGTTTAATGAGTTATTGTTGATATAAATTGCATTTAATTAGTTTTTTAATTTGAACAACTCAACAGGAGATAAACATGGAAAATGTTGGTAACGTTAACCAACTTATTTCACAAGATAGTGCACACCAAGTAGCTCCCACTATGGAAGAAAGTTTCAACTCTTCGCTTAATAGCCTGACACCATCAAAGGAAACAGTTGAAACACCTAATGATGAGACAACTGATAAAATGGATACATGTGATAATATAGAGGCATTGGCGGAAACAAAGAAAGGAATGCTTAGGAGTAAGGCTTGGGATCATTTTGCAACAGTGAAAGTTAATAGCGAGGATAAGGCTCAATGTAAATATTGCAAGAAATTTCTTGGTGGAAAATCGAGCAATGGAACAAAACACTTGCTTCAACATATGGAGACATGCATTCATCGCAAAATTCATGAGAACAAGACTACAAAAGGACAGACATTTCTCATGCCAAAGTGCTTGCAAGGAAAGCAAGAATTAGAAGTTGGTACTTATAATGCTGAAAAATCAAGGAAAGAGCTTGCACGTGCAATAATTATGCATGCGTATCCACTTTCAATTGTAGATCATATAATGGGAATTGCTAGTGTTTTGGATCCTAGATACAAAATGGAGTATCTTGAATACTATTATGAAAAATTGTATGAACAAGACTCTTTTGATCAAGTTAAGAGGATTCAACAACTATGTTATGACTTAGTTGTTGATTATCAATTGAAGTTGAACCAAGAGAATTGTGGTGACTCACCAGTGTTGGAATCTAGTCGTGTGGCTAATGATAGTTTAGATGATTATGATGCATATGTTCGAAAGAAGAAAAGAGCAAGAACTTCATATGTCAAAACAAAATTGGATCATTATTTGGAAGAGGAAGTTTTACTGCGAAGTTCTGATTTTGATGTTCTATTATGGTGGAAGTTAAATGACATCAAATATCCAACACTCCAAGCAATTGCAAAAGATATTTTATCAATTCCTATTTCTACAGTAGCTTCAGAATCCGCATTCAGTACTAGCGGTCATATTTTAAGCCCGCATTGCAATCGACTTCATTGGACAACTTTAGAGGCTTTGATGTGTGCTAGAAGTTGGTTATGGAGTATTAAAAATAGTGGTATGCTTTTATATTATTCTGTCACTTTCTATATATTATGAAATGACATATAATTTTGTATTTGTTAATTGATTGCTAATTATATTGTATTGTGTTTAATATTTTTAGGTGGTATGAGTTCTAAGTTAAGCAATGACTACACTACTTTGCTCGATGAAATAGAGCCCGATGAAGAAGGTAAAATTTCCTTTGATTTATTTATTATTAATTTCTAATATGGAGTGTGAAACACATATTTTTCAATTTTTATTATGAAGTGTGAAGCGATTTATTTATTACTAATTTCTAGTGCGGAGTGTGAAGTATCCAATTATCCATCCAACCAATTAACTTGTTAGTAATCAATTTGTTATTAGAATACAAGAGTAACTTTTTATTATTAATGTTTTTATTTTAATGTGTATTTTTTATATAGGTGAAATATTGACTAGTGGTGTTATTTCCCTCTTTGAAGATGGAGAATAGCATTTAGAGAAAGAAAGAAGACAATATTGGCGTTAGCCACTTATCTATTTTTCTTAGCAACTTCCGTTGATAACGATGTTGAATATTTTTAGTTATGTGGTTGTTTTGTTGGTATTTTGGAATGTAGAATATTTTTTTACTATGTGTTTGTTTGGATGGTAGTTTGAAATATTGACTAGTGGTGTTATTTCCCTCTTTGAAGATGGAGAATAACATGTAGAGAAAGAAAGAAGACAATATTGGTGTTGGCCACTTATCTATTTTTGACTAACAATTTCCATTGACAAATGATGTTGAATATTTTTAGTTATGTGGTTGTTTTGTTGGTATTTTGGAATGTAGAATATTTTTTACTATGTGTTTGTTTGGATGGTAGTTTGTCATATCAATTTGTATTTTATTATTTAGTTTTTATATTTAGTATTATTTGGTTTTGCTGATTTGAAATATTAATTGTATGATTAATGAATTAATACTTTCGTTTGTATTTTATAATTCGAAATATATGTTTGAAATTCTTTGAGATTGTATTTTATTTTTGTAATACAAGTTAATATTTCTTAAGATTGGGACAAGTTTTGGGTTTGGGGCAAAATTTGGGTTCGGGGCAAAAATTTGGGTTTGAGGCAGGGTTTGGGTTTGGGGGCGTGGCGGGAATCCCCAAACCCATTTGGGACGGGGTTGGGGTTCAATTATTCATCCCTGCTGGGGTTCGGGGCGGGGAACGGGGATTTATTTGGGATTCAGATTTGGGTTTGGGGAATACAAAAACCGTCTCCGCCCCGCCCCGTTGCCATCCCTACACACAAGTTAACCATGGATAATAGAAATAAACAAATATCACAGATTTATGAACTCGACGTATCAAAAAACGTCAATGGATAATATCAATTACTCCGACCTTATCAAAATGCATCAACATATATCTCAATAAACCCTCACCTTATCAAAAGTCATCAACACATGTTGTCAAATCAATGCCTATAATGATCAAGTACAAACAAAAAAATATTATCATAATAATCACCTTAGAAGGTTTTGCATAAACTTTCTTTGTCTTCAAACATTATCATAGAGAAAAAGCAAAGGGAAAAGGAAGAAGGGTAATGTGAGATGTTGGATCGAACTCTAGTATGGTCGAAGTCTGTTCGTGAGTAATGCGTGTTGTAGTCGAAGTTTGTTCTAACATGCATTAGTTAATATTGCTAGGGTTGTTAGCATGTTGAATTGGGTCTTACTTGTAAGTCCAATTGTTTAAGTTAGTTTGTACCCTAAATTAGCTTGTAATGGATAATTGTTAAAAAGCCCATTAGGTTAGTGTGCTATTTTTCTTATAAATAGGATATTAATTTCTCAATCTTGGCATAAGGAAAAATAGGAAGATAAAATCCTAATTTCAAGGGAGAGAGGTTATTTTGTTATTCTTGTATACTTGTAATCTTGTTCTAAGAGAAAGGAAAGAATAGCAGTTTAATAACCAATCCTTGTTGTTCCTTGTTGCTTTTTTTTTTATTAACCCTAACCCTTGTGTGTTTCTTGATCATTAAGAAACCGTGTATACTTTCTTTAAAGGTATTCGGTTCACAACAAATTGGTGCGGTGAGCATGGAGAAGATGCCTTCAACAAAGTATGAGATTGAAAAGTTCACCGGAGTGAACGACTTCGGTCTGTGGCGCTTGAAGATGAAAGCCCTATTGGTTCAGCAGGGTTGTTTGGAAGCGTTGAAGGGTGAGGCAGCCATGGACGCTGCATTAACGGCAAAAGAAAAGACGGGCATGATCGAGAAAGCCCACAGCGCAATATTGTTGAGCCTTGGTGATAAGGTTCTTCGACAGGTATCAAAGGAGACTACAGCATCGGGATTATGGGTGAAACTTGAAAGTTTGTACATGACCAAATCTCTGGTGAATCGACTATACCTGAAGCAAGCTTTATATTCATTCAAGATGAGTGAAGACAAAGTGTTGGCTGAGCAGTTGGATATGTTCAACAAGCTGATTCTTGACCTTGAAAATATTGATGTGAAGATCGATGATGAAGATCAAGCACTATTGCTGCTGTGTGCTTTGCCCAGAACATATGCTCACTTCAAAGAAACTCTCTTGTATGGAAGGGAGTCCCTGACCTTTGAAGAAGTTCAATCAGCCTTGTATTCTAAGGACTTGAACAAACGAAAGGAGCATAAACCTTCGACGGTGGGCGAAGGTTTGGCCGTTAAGGGAAAATTCTTGCAAAAGGATGGTAAGTTCGACAAGAAAAAAGGTAAAAGTCAACAGAAGTCTTATAGTGGCGAAACATCTAGTATTCGATGTTACCACTGTAAGAAGGAGGGTCACATAAGAAAGCTGTGCCCTGAACGCCTGAAAGATCATGGAGGTAATGGCAATGCAGCCATTGTTCAAGATGACTTCGACTCATCTGATGTTCTTGTGGTTTCAAGTGGCGACTCGAGGAAAGAGTGGATTATGGATTCAGGTTGCACTTGGCACATGACTCCAAACAGAGAATTGTTCGAGGAGCTATGTGATCAAGATGGTGGATCTGTGCTGTTAGGAAACAACAAATCTTGCAAAATTGCAGGTATTGGATCTGTGAGATTCAAGCTCCATGATGAGTCAATAAGGTTATTGACTGAAGTCAGGTACGTACCTGACTTGAAGAGAAATTTGATTTCTCTTGGTGAATTCGACAGAAAAGGATATGTTTTTCAAGGAGAGAAAAGTATCCTAAGAGTCATGAAGGGGTCGAAGGAAGTCTTGAGAGGCGTGAAGAAACAAGGCTTGTATACCCTTGAGGCTGAGGTTGTAAGTGGTTTGACAAATGTTGCATCCACGAAATCTATGTCGAAGACAGAATTATGGCACATGAGATTGGGCCATGTCAGCGAAAGAGGCCTGGTCGAATTGGGGAAGCAGAACCCGCTAGGAGGTGACAAAGTCGAAAAGTTGGAATTTTGTGAATCTTGTGTATTTGGTAAATCCTGTAGGGCAAAGTTTAACAAAGGCAAGCAAAGAACACATGGATCCCTGGATTACATTCATGCTAATCTTTGGGGGCCTGCAAGGAATCCTTCACACTCAGGTGCAAGGTATTTTCTATCTATCGTTGATGACTATTCCAGAAAACTATGGGTATTCATTCAGAAGACGAAGGATGAAACTTTTGAGAATTTCAAAAGTTGGAAGATTCTAGTCGAAACTCAGACTGGCAGAAAGGTTAAGAGGTTGAGAACCGACAATGGCCTTGAATTCTGCAACGAAGCTTTCGACAGTTACTGTGTTGGGTCTGGGATTGCAAGGCATAAGACTGTAGCAGGTACTCCTCAACAAAATGGCTTAGCTGAAAGATTCAATCGAACAATCCTTGAAAGGGTTAGATGCATGTTGGTTAGTGCTGGATTGAAGAAGGTGTTTTGGGCGGAAGCTATTTCGACAGCAGCTTACCTGATAAAAAGATGTCCCTCGACTGCCTTGGGAATGAAGACACCTGAAGAAGTTTGGTCAGGACATCCACCTAGTCTCGACAGACTGAGAGTATTTGGCTGTGTGGCCTATGCTCATATTAGGCAAGACAAGGTCGAACCTAGAGCTCTGAAATGCATGTTCATGGGATACCCTGAAGGAGTCAAAGCTTATAGGCTATGGTGCCTAGAGCCAGGTCACAAGAGGTGTATCACCAGTCGAGATGTAGTTTTCAACGAAGCAGAGATGACTTTCAAGAAAACTGATGATGCTGACGAAGAGCTGGAACAGGGAGAGATTCCTGTTGAGGTGGAGCATGTTGATGCTGAATTGCTTACCCCAGATGAAGTCGAAGAAGACACAAAAGATGTTGTCGAAGATGAGGAGACTGATAATGAATACCTGCTAGCAAGAGACAGGTTGAGGAGAGTCATCAAGCCACCTCAGAGACTTGGGTATGCAGATCTTATAGCTTATGCCTTAATCTCTGCTAGTGAGGTTCTAAATGAAGAACCTAGAGACTATAAGGAAGTTATGAGGAGTCGAAAGAAGACTGAATGGATGAAGGCCATGGATGATGAGATGAAATCTCTTCATGATAAAACCACCTGGGAACTGATCAAGAAACCTGCTGGAGCCAGGTTAGTCAGTTGTAAGTGGATTTTAAGGTACATAAATGGGTCTCTGAATAGAGTCCTAATTTATGGTGGAGCCTTGGCTGAAGATAGTAAAGCAGCAATCGAAGGATATATCGACTCTGATTATGCAGGTTGTATGGATTCCAGAAAATCTATCTCTGGATATGTGTTCACTATGTTTGGGACAACAATCAGTTGGAAAGCAACACTTCAGAAGGTCGTTGCCCTATCAACCACTGAAGCGGAGTATATTGCCCTAACTGAAGCTGTGAAGGAAGCATTGTGGCTTGAAGGTTTTGCAAAGGAGCTAAAACTTCAAGGTCGAGTTATCACTGTTAAATGTGATAGTCAAAGTGCAATACACCTGTCGAAAAATTCAGCCTATCATGAGCGAACCAAACACATTGATGTGAGGCTGCATTTCATCAGAGGGGTAATCGAGCGTGGAGAAGTCCAAGTGCTGAAGGTTTCGACAGATCATAATGCTGCTGATATGATCACCAAGACATTGCCCAGTTGCAAGTTTTTCCACTGTATGCAGTTAATAAAGCTGCATGAAGAAAGCTAGTTTCTTGATGTTATAGAGTTAGATCCAAGGTGGAGATTTGTGAGATGTTGGATCGAACTCTAGTATGGTCGAAGTCTGTTCGTGAGTAATGCGTGTTGTAGTCGAAGTTTGTTCTAACATGCATTAGTTAATATTGCTAGGGTTGTTAGCATGTTGAATTGGGTCTTACTTGTAAGTCCAATTGTTTAAGTTAGTTTGTACCCTAAATTAGCTTGTAATGGGTAATTGTTAAAAAGCCCATTAGGTTAGTGTGTTATTTTTCTTATAAATAGTATACTAATTTCTCAATCTTGGCATAAGGAAAAATAGGAAGATAAAATCCTAATTTCAAG